GCGAAATGCTTAGAGATTATATTAAAGCCTATATCGTTAAACATTTGTAGGCAAAGATGTAATGGTAGAATGCTCATCAATCACTCAAGTGATCAAGTGGGATCGTTTCTCAGCTGACTCAACCCGAAACCTCTTCTAGTTTACCATCCGTTAGGAATCTTTTGAATAGAGAGGAGTGTTACGCGTGTGGCAAGCAACTTTGCTCCATGAAAACAACACCACCAGTACAAAAATGCCAAAGGTAGGAGTATCATGTCACATGCTGGACTGAGTATGCAAGGGAATGATGAGGAAGAAGAGTGTATTCATAAATCGAAACATTCTCTCCAGAGAACTTCATATGTGTAAATCTTTGTATTTACTTTTGATCAATATGAATAGATGGATATATGGATGAGTGTGAACTGATAGGGACAAATATGACATTGACTGGCCAATATAAATACAGCATAAAGAATATCATGGCATAGGAAATCCACTTGGAACGGTTAGCTACAGTTGGGTGCCCATCTAAACAAAAAGAAATCCACATAATTTCTTTGCCACTTGAACCCGATGCATCTGCAGGTCTGACGCTCTGGAAGAGGAACTGGATCTTCTGAAAGAAACTTTCATCCGAAATGGACACCCACCAAGATTCATCAACAGGAACATCGGACCAAAAGTTCAGGGGAAAGAAAAACTACTTGTTACATGGAAGAAACTTTAAGTGAACCTGGATTTCAAGTGAGACTAAGACTTTACTGTCTTTAAGAGAAGAATTTCATACACTTGGTTGCCTTGATAAATTTCGATAAAGAAATGAAGACGAAATTTGCAGTGTAAAATGGTATCATTCTACTTCACAGGTTCTCATCAGTTGCTGCAGACTACCTGAAACTACAATGGTTATCTAGGTAATAATAACATACTTTAATGTTTGAGTGGTAGTAGAGAAGAGATCCTATGAAAATGACGCATCCAAAATGAAAGCATTAAAATTTTTTTTAGTTTAAGTTTTCATCATCAATTTATGCTGTTTTCTGTCTTACCCTTCCCCCTTCTTTTCAACTTTGAAAACGTATAAATTGATGATGAAAACTTAAACTAAAAGAATTGTAATGCTTTCATTTCGGATGCGTCAATTTTATAGTACCTCTTCTCTACAACCACTCAAACATTGAAGTAGGTTATTATCATCTATAAAACCATTGCAATTTCAGGCAGTCTGCAGGTGATGAGAACCTGTGAAATAGAATAATGGCATCATTTTATACTGCAAATTCCGTCTTCCTTTCTTTATCGAGAAGAATTTCAGTATCTTTGAGAAGAAATTTCTTCTCAACAACACTGAGAGCAATGTTCTCCGGTTGTGAATCAGTATGCAGAGGCGTTGAGGACAAGTTCTCTTATCTGACAATCTATGTGTATACATATCAGTTCACCTGTTGCTGTGGAGCCAGGTACATTGATTTTTCGACGCGTATTCTGTAAGAAAAGGGTTCAAGAACACTATCCTGCATGGCTGCAGAAAATTTGTAGTGATTCTGTACGGAGTGCGATAATTGAACACATTGAAAAACCTGGTCACTCCATCTCAGCAAACGCCTACTTCAATGTAATCTGCAAAGTGAAGAACAACCCGTCAAAGGCAGGCAATACTCTCCTTCGCACCGCCGAAGACTTAGGCATTCAGTCGGAGTAACCAGAGATAGGCATAAAAAAGAAAATCATTCATCCACTTCGACTATCATGGTGGCAACGATGTTAGCTTCTACTTTCTTCTTTTTTCTAACTCCTTATAAAATTTCTAGTGTTCAGAACACTTACATAATTCCATATTTTCCTTCGTTTCTAAGTGCATGCAAATTACAACCCAATCAATCATTAGATTATTCACCTAATTGCATAACTATGATAATAATAATCATAATTCAGCTTCTGTCATGCATTGACTAGCAATAACAACTGTGTTTTACTAATCTTCAACCCCCCCTAGTTGCAATTTGATTGTTTATCACATTTTTGAAATATTTTTATGACGTAAACAATAGCCCTGAGTGATGTTTCATGTTGTCTGATAAACCTAGTATGCAAATAAATGCCAAAATAATTAGAATATGTAATTGCGATTGTACAGCTAAGTGGATGTCTTAACCGAAAAGCGACTCTTCAATGAACTATGCGTTTTGCTTTCATTGATGTCTAGATGGTGATTATTTACAAAACAGTGCATAACTGCTTTATATACGCCTGATTTTACTCAATCATTAAGGCCGGCTGAAAACAGTCTGGAAAACTTTGAACCCTCAGGTCAATGAAGAATAGCAAGTATAATGCGGCTGGACAATCCTGAAGCTCAGATTTGTACGAAGATTTAAATGGCTATTTATTGGCTTCACTTTCTGAGTTGCGGAATGTTTATACATAACGGATTTCTGTTATTTCTGACATTCCGCTATAGAACCCTAGTTGGGGCATTACTCATAGTGTTGGACGTGTACACCCACATCGTGTTAAGCGACTTATTCAAACCCAGATGATATATGTCCGATTTCCCACAAACTGGAAGATATGCAAGTGAAAAGCAACAAGCTGGCAGAAGAAGCATCAAAGATAGGACCTCATGTCAGGTGAACATAGAGAAAACAGAGGTGATGGTGAAGATTCCTGGGCAAAACCAACAGCATCAACAACAACAACAGACAACAATCAGCTAGCATAAATGGAAGGAATCTGAAAGAAACAACCTCCTTTAACTACCTACCTACCTGGGAAGCATCGTTCCAACTACGGGCCGACGGAACTGACGAGGATATAAAAGCCAGAATCGGAAAAGCAAGACAAGCTTTCATTACTCTTAAGTCTGTGTGGAAGTCAACAGCACTCATTATCAAAAATAACATCCGGATTTTCAACTCCAATGTGGAGTCATTCAGTGCTAGTTACTATACGGATCAAAGACTTGGCCAGCGCGTCATAAAGAGCATCTCAAACAAACTTCAGACCTTCATTAGCAGTTGTCTTCGCTAAATACCACTCAAGATCAGATGGCCGGCCAGAAAAGATCAGCAACAGGGATCTCTGCAATGAGCGAACCAACACAGCAGGAATCGATTGTGAAACAAATAGGCAGGAAGAAATGGAAATGGATTGGCTGATCATACGCTCAGGAAACAAATCATCAAGTGAGTGGCATCACTAGACAAGCCATTGCTCGAGTGGAACCCAGTCGAAAGGGAAGCGGCGAGTTGGTCGTCAGTGCAATGGTGAGGGTGACTTGTAGGAGGTGATGTGAGGAGGAGATGAAAGTATGTGGGCAGACTTGGAGGGGGGTGAAAAAGTTGTCAGAAAACCGAAGGCAATGGAGACGTGCAGCTGAAGCCCTATGTTCCTCTAGGAATTAAAGGATATATTAATAATTTTATTGATACAAGAATAAAACCTGGGCACTGTGGTAGAGTTTAACTTCATTATGGATAAGATTTTATTTTGATAAATCACATAGTGTGTTATACAGTAATATTTACTGATGACAACGTTTCGAGCACGATCTGTTGCGCATAAACTGCATATATATAAAAAGCGGTTTATTCAGTGGAAAATATACCTTGGCTTCCATGTCTTGCCTTTTGATGTTACAATAGTATGAGTCCTTCATTTTCAACTGTAAATTCGGGATTCTCATATTATGAGTATTTACATATTTTCAAAATGAGTTTTCCCTTTTTCTATTGCTTTTATGTATAGAAAAAATATATCATCCACATATCTCTGAACTACTTTAGTATCCCACTGTTTGGGCTTACTGGAAACAGCTTAGAAAATAAGGACCTCAAATTACTGCTCAGTATCGCCGCTGACATTATTAATTGTGGCAGACTGGATTACGCGTCAGACTGTGCATGGGCAGTGAGAAGACAGGAATACGCTTCAATGACCGATGAGAAGACTCTGGAAGATCTGGATTTCGCACAAGGATGGCTGACGTTTAATGTCACACAAGCGCGAAGACTTACAGACAGGCGGAAACCGGCAGACTAGCTGAAGAAGCAGGCAGGCAGCGAAGACAGGACTCCAGGTGAAGATGAAGAAGACAAAAGTGATGAAAATAACCAACCAACCAACCAACAGCAATGGCATCGACAACCAGCATCAATCAATCACCATCAACAGGAGAGATTTGACAGAGGTTACTTCTTGCCTTCAATTATATGACTAGGAAGCATGGTTTCAACCACAGGCCGGTGGAACGGATGAAGACGTCAAAGCGAGTCAGTCAGCCAGAATCGGAAAGGCGACGTACGTCTTCATCAACTTGAAACTAGTTTGAAATCTTCTGAACTCAGCCAGCATAAACAATCAGATTCAGATTTTGAATACAAATGTGAAGTCAGTCAGTCATTCAGTTCTTCTATACGGGTCAGAAACTTGCACCGCGCAGGCGTCACGAAAGGGATTTCCAACAGGTTACTGCAGACTTTTATCAGCAGCTTTCACCTTCGTTGGTTTCATAGGGAGGATTAATTGCCCAGAATTAGCAACAAGAAACTCTTGGTTGGAATAAACCAACCAAGAGCCGATTGCTCAACAAATATGTAAGAGAAAATGGAGACTGGTTGGGCACACGACACTAAGGAATCCTGTTGAATGACATCACGCGTAATGCAGCCCATTGCTGGAGTGGAATTGCAACTGGAAGCGACGAGTGGATCGTCATTGCGAGAGTGATCTGGAGGAGATCGCCTGAGCTGGAGAGGGAGATGAGAGATTATGGACAATCCTGGACCCAGCTGAAGAGGTTGGCAGAGAAGATGTGTTGTCGGAGACCTGTGTTGCACTCGGAACTCAAAGCAGCCGCTGATATGTCAAAACAGAAACCGATCATTTCAGTTCAGTATGGGTCAATCAGCAACAAATAAAATGATAAATAATTGATATTGTTCATATAATTGTTAATTTACTACATTAATAAAGCATATCAAGGATAGGCGTATGCGTATTATCAACTTTTCACTTACGTTCACATTTTAATTCTGTATAATGCCAATCTGTTCCAACACACAGGGCATCTGTATACTGTTTATTATCAGAGTCTTTATAGCCAGGCAGGCATTCAATTCTCACTGTTTCACCTGATCGAAAATCATCACGAATTTTTGGCATTCCGCTTTCTATTTTATAAGCAATTCGAGTATTCAAGATTTCTGGTGCATTGAAACACGCTGAAATACAGGCAGAGAGACAGACAGAGAAAGGGAGATAACGAAATGAATGTTGGTTTAACGTTGTATTATTCAAACGAAACACTTTTTCAGTGACTGAGTTGAATTCTTACAAACGAATACTTAAAATCACCGAAAATACCCATTGAATCATGAAGAAAATAAAAGACAGATTCAGCGAAGAAAATTTTCTTTATCGACAGAAATCATCTTCAGAGGCTGACTGAACAGTCGTATTTGTACTTGAAAAATATGTATAGTGGTGTATTACTGAGTAATAGGGGGGTGACATAATTGGTGTAATTATTCATAAGTGGCTTTAGAAGTAGAAATTAAAAGTTGTAAATTACATGGTACTCAGTGGAACAAAGATAGAAGTTTGATAAGGTTAAAATTGCTCTTGAGTGAGAATAACGGTGGTATTTGAGTGTCAATTTAACAAGTGGGAAGAGCCGACAAATGATAAACGGATGTGTCAAGGATAAACTGCCGCTTTGGGCCACCTCAATGTGTGTTTATAAATTCACCTGCTCGTGTGGAGCTAGTTATATTGGCCGAACAAAGCGCACGCTTTCCAAACGCATCTCTGAACATTATCCGGTATAGTTAGCAAAGGGACAATGCAAGACAATTACTAGCTCAATTCTCGAGCATTTGGTGAACTCAGGCCACGTAGCTCCACCAGAGTCGTCTTTCAAGATCATCTACAAAGTGAAGCCATGTGGTACAAAAGGCGTCAGGTTTCGGCTTTTGTGTATGGCGGAAGCGCTGGCAATTCATCAATACAATCCTGAACTCTGTATACAGAAAACGTTTGTCCAGTCTCTTATTCTACCTTGGTCTTAACCTCCTCACTAATCGTTCCCCGTAAAATAAAATTCCGATTTTTTCTTTTCTTTTTTAATTTTTAATTTTACTTTTAGTTTGTTTTTGCTTTAACAATTAATTCACTATTATTACTCTCATATGCTCCTTTTGTATATTTTCACACCCTCTTCACACTTGTTAAATTGACACTCAAATACCACCGTTATTCTCACTCAAGAGAAATTTTAACCTTATCAAACTTCTATCTTTGTTCCACTGAGTACCATGTAATTTACAACTTTTAATTTCTACTTCTAAAGCCACTTATGAATAATTACACCAATTATGTCACCCCCCTATTACTCAGTAATACACCACTATACATTTTTCTAAGTACAAATACGACTGTTCAGTCAGCCTCTGAAGATGATTTCTGTCGATAAAGAAAATTTTCTTCGCTGAATCTGTCTTTTATTTTCTTCATGAATACTTAAAGCTTAATCATCTGCTAAACTGTTAACTGAATACGGCATGGATTTGTTGGGATTCTCATTGTGGTTGTCCTTCGACGACATTATGTAGTAATAGTACTAAAGTGTGAACCAACAGAAATTAAAATGGTCACTGAGGTGGCCTGGTAATATAGTACTAATTTGCTTTATTCCAAAGCAGTACTTATATGACACAACGCAAAATTCTCAGCATTTGCTACAATATTATTGCATCTAATTTGCTCGACAATAACGAAATAAAGAATAATATTACAGGATTAAGATTGGCAGTTTTTCTGGTAATAACAAAGACAATAAAGTTAAAAATACACAGATTGTTTAAAATAATGATAATAGTATTAATAAGTAACATTATAAGTTAATTGATGTAGTCTCATCATAGATTATAAATAGTAGAGAATAAAACCACCGATTACTTCTCTAATTACATAGTAAGTCGTAGGTTTCACGTTTAACACTACCTCTATCACATGGAACGCCAATCAAATATGGTATCGTTGAATTGGTTACAGGATTTCATCATTAGCTGACATTGGTTAGAGAAGGCTAACCGGAAGGTCCTGGGTTCGAACCCCAGTGGGTGCGCAATGCTGAAGAGTCCCAAACGAGGCTGACGAAACAGCTGTCCAGTACTCCCAGATTTTCCAATGGTTCTCTAACCAATATCAGCTTATGATGAAATCCTGTAGCCAATCAACCAAATCTCTACAAACCAATACTTGAATGGTATCGTTGAGTTTCATTACTTCGTTATACGAGCATGTTATCTTTTATAATGACTTCTAGTCCTGACTGATGAGATGCAAGGCGTGAAGAGTTGTAAAGAGGGAGTATTGAGAGTCAGACAATATGGATTTAGACCATTTCCCAAATTAGTTCAGGTGTCTGTCGACTGCAGTGCTAACAAGCTAAGTAGCAGATCTCTTACCTGCCCTACTGACAACCTTTAATACCCTTCGCAACACGGAACAGTCTGTTTTGAGTAATCCAGGAAAGACTATGGCAGAGCAGTAAAGTACAAAGTATAAGATGCAAGAATTAACGAGTTGTGTGAGTAGTGGCTGTCTGATTACATATTTTCTGAACTTCTTAATGTAGAATGTTAGTCAGAACATTTTCTTAGAAACCGACAAGATGTGGGATGAGTATAAGACGTCAGAGGACATAACTATTCCAAGGTATTCTGTGCTTGACTTGGTTATTGGGTTACTTCAATCTCTATCCAACAGAATCAGCCAAATCTATTTCTCTTTAATAATAGTAATAATAATAATAATAATAATAATAATAACAGCTTTATTCCAAACAGTATTTGTGGTACAGGTAAGGAATTTTCAGCGTGCAATACAGTATATTGCATCTAATTACCTCATAAATTATATAAGATTTTTCAAATCAAAGATAAATAAATAAAAATAAAATGAATAAGTAATAAATAAATAAATAAAATAAATAAAAATAGAAAAACAGCGTAGAGTATTACATTTCAAACAATGCACCACAGGATATGAAATATAAAGATTGATGTGTGATAGAAGATGAGAACAATGTTGTAATAGTAACGAGAAAAGGAAAACAAAAACTAATGGGACTATCTGTTAGAGTGTCGCAGTAAGTTTGTCGTGTCATACCTAACGGATTTCTCATCACATAACAGCTGTTCCAGATATGGTATTGTGGAGATTTTGTATTTGGTGGTCCTAGTGTAACAACAGAAGACAAGGGCCAGGCAACAGATCGTTTTATTATGAAAATCAACACGTATTTATACATATTTCAACTACATTATTATAGACAAGCGCAGTCATCTGATTGGTTGTTTAGGTAGACAAACGCAGGCTTCTGATTGGTTGTTTCGGGATTCCTTGACAAATAGAGTTCTCTCTGCGAATCATATTCTGCCACGTTAACTTTGCTGTGATTGGTTGTTGACTCAGGCTTGTTCATATTTTCTCACGGCCCATATTAGTGACCTAGACCTTAACGTAGATTAGTGCCAACCAATCGGCTAGCAGCCTGCTCTCACCACACTAGCATATAGCCGTCTATAGCTGCTTCTAGTTCTACCAGATGAAATGCAAGGAGACAGCTGCGTATAGAGAGGATGCTCGGGGTCCGACAATCTTATATTCGCTAGTTTCGTACATGATATAATATGTCTATCTACAATAGTGTTAACCAGTTGGTTTAACGATATCCCACGGCGGTTCAATCATCGGGTGGTGCGTATTTTTTAGGCAGCTTTCAACAAACTGTTGGACATTGTATCATGAAATGCAGGGAAAATATCTGATAAGTAATCGGGCTTTCTTTCAGATCAGAAAATATTACATCATATGGTATATTACTGACTACTATATTACTTGAAGATTTTCGTCCAAGATATATATTTTGCAATATAATATTCTGAGTATTCTGTTTAGGTTGAGGCGATTGTTAGTGAGTTCATCAGTGAGTAATTCTGAAGCGTCATCATCTAACATGAACACAATTGTTTAAACCTCCAGGTTTCTCAGTAGTTCTTTTATTAATCTTGGTTCATAATATGACTGGTAATACCAACTTGTATACTGCTGTTAATAGGTACTTAATGGGTATCCGGAGACTATTCAAACTACTAATCACCACAAGCGCAATCATAATACCACTGGAAAGCGAGCGAAAGAGAGAAGACAGACCAGTGATAAAGAAGACAGCTTTAATGATCGCAAATAACAGTCAAAATCTTTACCGCTATGCTGAACACAGAGGTGTAAATACCACCGGCGATCGCAAATCTAACTAAGTGAAGAAAGAGTTGACAATCGATGAAGTCTCGGTATTAACAAAGAGTTTATTTGCATGTTGGATTCCTTTGCGTTCCTAGCTGAATATCGAAATTCATGCTTTAGGCCTTAGAATTTCAGTAGCCGTAATTCTTTTTGACGAATTGAGGGTTACTGGACTCATGCCCAGCTTCACCTGTTTTTGAGACTTGTCACTACATAAGTGCCTTTAAGTGGTGCGTTGTTAGGGATTCTGCCGATGAATTTTTAACGTACAGTAACAAATAGGGGGAGATAGGAAAGCTCCTTGAAGGTGCATTAACTGCAAAAATAAATTTTTTTCCTTCACGTTCCCAAGGGGAACATAGGGCTTCAAGCTAGTGGCTTGAAGTTTCTGTAGCAGTGTTTATTTTACAGGATGGGGTTGCTAGCTTCATGCTAAACCTTTCCTCTTCGCCAGCATTATTTCTGGCTTGGTGAGGTAAAGGAGTGCGTCCACTGGCCGAGAATCGAACTCTGGATCATGTGCATGGTCGGCGAGCGTCGTAACCGCTATGCCACTGACGCACTTAAGAATATGGTTAGTTTAATGGTATAAACACAAACGTGAAGTCAGTCAGGCAGTTCTTCTATACTGCTCAGAAACTTACACTGCTCGTGAGTCACAGAAAGCATTTCCAACAAGTCACTGTATTCGTTTACCAACAGCTCTCCGCCTTCCCTAGTTCCACAGTGAAAATAGAATAGCCAGGTGGCCACCTAGAAAGAATTAGCAACAAGAAACTTGTCTGGGAACAAACCAACCAAGAGCCGATCGCTCAAAGAATTTTTAGAAAGAAATGGAGATGGATCGGGCACGCGACGGTGAGGAAACCGTCAAATGGCGTCGAGTGGATTCACAATGGGATGCAACGAGTAGGTGGCTGGTGCGAAGGTGACATATAAGAGATCGCATGGTGGAAAAAGATGAGAGATTATGGACAATCATGGGCACAGCTGAAGAGGACAGCAGAAAACAGAATGAAGTGGAGATGTGTTGTTGAAGCCCTACGTTCTACTCGGAAGCTAAATGAAAAATATCAATAATAATAATGTTATAACCAAAGGTAAAGACAAAATTAGGCGTATATAACAGTTCATGCAAAAATTTACCTTGAAACTGTTCTTATACTATTCACATTTTGCTTCTATTTTGTTGATTTTTACTGCAAAATGCATAGACTGTAACAATTTTGAATGTTTTTTGTTTATGCCGTCTAAGTCATTCTTCTATACACACACACACGCACACACGCACACACACACACACACAGGTACTCAGAGGGAAACACAAACTTACAGAAATCGTTTTCCCTTGACAATATGCAAAGTCAAATTATTCGTTTTATTCTAAATTCACTAACATATTCATACAAAATAAGCCATAGTAATCAGAAATGTTATGCATTTTTACTTTTTGATGACACATCAGCCTGTTTGTTTTTTTAAAAAAAATGAATCCATAAAATTGAAGAGATTTAGCATTTATGAAAGATGTCCCTCTAAGAAAAGAGATTCTAATATCTAAGCAATAACAACAACAATAACAGCGATAATATGGATGATTTCATACTTTTGCGTGATTGACTTTTGGTCAGTTTTGGTTAAATTTTGTGCAGAATTAAGAATGACATTTAAATGAAAAGTGAAAGCATTTTTCCAGCTTACAAGATTTACACAATATGTAGTTAGTCCATTGAGGATTTACCAGTAGAAGACTTCTTAGAAATACAGGACATCCGGGTTAGAAATTCTCAGAGGATGCACTCTCGAACTTCGCTTAACTGCTTTTAACTCCGTAAGTAAAGAAAGGTTCGGTGTGGAGCTAGCAACCCCTTACCATAAAAAAACGACATACTACAACAGTAGCAATGACAAAAAAATGCAATATATGTTCACTGTCGAAACAATATCTTACTTTCAGTTTGATTACTACACGTTGGTTGTGCTCCACTCCATTTCAATGTTGCAAGACAATGTCGTTTACGTTGTCCACGTACAGCGTAACCAGAATTACACGTGTATTCAACAATATCACCAACATCAGTATCGTTGAATACAGCTTGTCCATTGATTAGATCATCAGGTTTTGGACATTTTGCAGTTTCTAAATTGAAACGAAATATTCGAAAATTATTCACAAAATTTGATTCATTTATATTTTCTTAAGGTTTGTGAAGTGTAAGCAGGGTACTTGATGGCTAGTGGTAGGAAATATACCCCCAGAGAATGATGGTGCGTCGGTGCCACAGTGGTTAGGATTCTCGCCGACCATGCACATGGTCTGGGTTCGAGCCCACGCCGACGCACACCTGATATCTATGGTCGGCCTGCAAAATTTGGGCTACCGCTATCCACGCTGAAAATTCCACACTTGTACTAAAAAAAATACGGTGTGGAATCAAGCTGTAATCAAAAAATTAAAAAATTAAAAAAAATTAAAAAAATTAAATTAAAATTAAATGGTTTTTCCACTTGAATTCAGTACCTATCATGATGAACTCCATAGTGTTATCCGAAATGGCAGTGAATCGCAAAAGTCACCTCACAAAAACGACTAAATAAGGTGAATATGTGTTTTTTTATAAAGGTAGCACACAGTAGTATTAGATGGCACAATTGTTAATTGCACCAAATCACAAATAGTGATGGCAAAATACAGAAACTTTAAGTTAAAACTCCTATTTATACAAGAGTAACTTTAGTCGACTTCATTTACTGTCGCACAATTATCTTCATTTCTCCTATTCTCAGCTTAATCAGTCGCTCTGTTATTCAAAAGCTATTCAGACAGTTTCACAACATACTACTTACATGATGGCGTCAGTTGGCGTACACCTCAGTATCATTTGTTAGAGTAAATTCATTTGAAAACTTCATACACTTCTTCCCGATAATAAATTTGAATAAAGCAAGAACAACAAATGTATCAGGATAATCTAAGCTCATGTTTCATTTTCGTTATTGCATGGATTCTTCTCAACTGGTTACAACCTGAACAATACCAAAATCATAAATTAAATCAAAGATGTGAACATACTTTTTACAATGATAGTGAGTAATTGTTTGGAACTAAGAGTAACATTGGTCAGGAATGATGTAAGATGCTGAATAAGAGTGAAAAGGATTGACTATTTCTACAAGAATTGCATGACTAAGTTTTGAAACAAAAAGACAGAGTTCAACAGATGTTTTGTGGGTAGAAATAAAGTTTAGCTAGAAAGAGTATAAAAAGTAATTGGTTGCGTAACCACAGAAAAACGCATTGTCATAAAATAGACAAAAAGAGGGACAGGATGAGTCATGTTTAGACGAAAAACTAAAGTTTTCTAATCAGGACAGAAGATGACACAGTGTAATTTGTGAGCTTTGCTATCACCAAGGCAGTGCAATATCTACCACTGTCTCTTTCTCTGTATATAGACATGGTTGCAGCCGTTTGACGACGAAAGCATCAGCCAAACGAAACACGCTGGGTTTGTTTTATCTGTTGATTATTTTGAACGCCTTCAGATTGTCCACAGCATTGCGCTTTTGACTCTCTTAAACAACAAATCGTTTGATAAACAGATGGAAGTTTGGTAGCTGGATATAGGCTTTCAGGGCAGCATTCAGTTTACATCTTATTCTACTAGCAGTATTTTCACCTTTGAAGGCAAGATATAGAAAGATTGGCTTTTTCTCTACTTTTCTGTAATTCATCTTGTCAACACTACGTTTTCCCTGTTTGTCGATCAACTTCTGAGGGTTACCATTATGAGTCAGGCATTTTTCAATAGTGGCTAGTTTCTCCTTCACTTTTTCTTTGAACAAAGCTTCCTTACACGATGAAACAGAGTTCTCACTAATCCTTTTTTTGAAACATATCGGGGCAGAAGCTTTTTAACTTCAGGTAAATCGCTCCCCAGGTCTCCTTCCTATAGATGTACCTCATGATTTTACTGTCTTTAGCAAGTTCGACGCCAAATAATTTGATAAAATCACACAGTGACACAGTATCATTCATTTAATGAAGACATCTAGAGTCCGATTTATTGCTTTTATTCATATTAAGGCACTCACATAACTTTCAAACTTCTTTTATATAATTCCATTTATTTCTTATGTACTTTGATTTCGTAGGTAAAAATATTACTTAACAGTATTATGCATCATGTAATTTGGTTAATGATGGTTAGAAGTGAAATCTAAGATGCACACTTCGGCCTCTGCAGAATCTATCAGGTGAATGTAGCCACACCTTCAGAGACTGTTAGTGTTCCCACTGAATAAGAAAGGATAGGTAACAATTAGAGGTATATGAATGAAGTTGGAAGGTTATATGAGTGCTTTGATATGAATATGAGAAATAAACTGTGTACAAGAAACGTCATCATTAAGTGAATAAAACCGTGTCACTGTGTGATTTTATCAAATAAATTTAATCTACCATAGTACCCAAGTTTTATTCTGTGATTTAATCTAAAATCTTATATTCATATACTCTTTATAATACCATACTGTTATTATGTCAGCATATTATGTATATGAGGCAGCACGCTGACAGACAATTCAACTGCATGACAAAATACCAAGGTGATGTGAACTAGGTTCTCTTGGGTTAACAATCAGTCTGGCGCATTATCAACTGTGCTACGACACTGACAATCAACCGAATAGATTACCGAGGGATTTATTAGTAATCCAGTATCACTTCTTTATTTGATATATACTATGAAGCTAACAGTTTTATGTTTGAACTTAATTGATCAGCGTCTAAATATCTCCAGGATGACTAAGTTTAGTTGTGTATAATTTGTAAATTCAGAACATTAACTGTATTTAAAACAAGTAACTAGTGTTATCTATAAAACAGGGTTGAATGGATTCCTAGATTTTCTTTGACACTCCCAGTAGTGTGAATACTTTGCAAACAATGATGTATTTATTATTATAATTTATCCTTTAAGTTCCTAGTAGAACATACGGCTTCAGGAACACGTGACCATTTCACTTCCTTCTCTACAATCTTTTCCGGATGGCTCCATAAATACCCATAAGCTTTAATCTCAGTGTCACACTAAGATATTCAAATCGTTGCTTCCAAATACGATTAATTTCGAGGGCTTTGACAAGTGATTTCACTCAACGACATTCTTTTCAGTGCACTCCGAATCCATCTCCACTTCTTTCTGGATATTCACCGGACAGTAGGTTCTTGGTAGTATCTTTTACTTTATTCACTATTATTATTATTGTTTTGCTTCAACTATTATTCTATTTTCTATCTTGATTGAAACCATTTTTGATAAAAAATCATATGAAAAATTATTCCTGGAAATAGTAATAGGACCTTCTAATGACTCTGTTATGCATTCATGAATGCAAAGTCTACTCAGTGACCACATTTAAAAGAACCATTTTGTTTGGTTGCAATTGTGCCTTAACAATTGGTATATTTTTATTTTTTATTTTATTTTCTATTATATCTTGATTTCATACCGTATTTTTCATGCAAGAATGAGATTTTCAGCATGCGATATCGGTAGCCGACCATTGACATCAGGTGTGCGTTGGCAGAAGATCGAACCCCCGGACCATGTGCATGGCCGGCGGGAGTCCTAACCGCCGCACAGAGTTTAAAGTAGGTAGAACGGTGTCAGCACCCGAAAACTGCCATAATAATAACAATAATTATGTCATAGATAAACGGAATTGAGGGTAATCTAACCGACAAATAAGAAGAACATTGATTCATATAAATATCCTGGGAAAGGAGTTTAACAAAACATTCTGCAAAACTACGCTTCGGTTTATGTCCATCAGTGGCTGGTACTTCCACTGTACATAAGTAGTGGAAGCATGAAATTTTACACTGTCTCATTTTAGCCACGTAGATAAATTTAAAGGGTAAATGAATACCATAAAGCCTCTATTCGACCACCGAAAAATCCGGTGGAACTAGAAAAAATTGAAAAATCTTTGGTGTTATGTCCATACAATCGAGCCATAAAATTGATTTTAACAGTAGTGAAATCATCCCAAAAAATCTCAAAAATCACATAGAACTTATCATACTGGGAGAATTTTGATATCAAGTGGAATCGAAACTGTATGCATAAGATTGATAGATTAAGACAGAATTTGACTTGGTTCGAACACACACAGAGACACAAACACACATAATCCCATCAACTGATAAAATCAACACAATTTTACTGTGTAAAATCACGCTGGTTTTTATAAATTTAGACACTTATCAATTTCAACCATCTCCACAGGATTTTCGATCTTTACCAATTCGTGTATCTGACAGTGCAAACAGAATAAGAATGTTTAGGTTACTGCACAGAAGCTGAAATTTTATAAATTCTAGTTAAAATTATATAAAACTTTGAAATGTGATGAGAGCAGGCTGCTAGCCAATTGGTAGACATTAATTTACGTCTATGTTTTGGTCGGAAACATTGGTCATGAGAAAAATAAGAACAAAGACTGATTCAACAACTAATCACAGCAGACTTTGCTTAGGCAGATACAGTTAACATATAGGTGATCTGACATTCAAGAAACAGTCACAAAGAGATGCAAGGTCAACTTTCTGTGAGAAACAACCAATCAGAAGAGTGTGTTTGTCTGCTTGAATAAGCCATAATAATGTACATGAAAATCTGTAAATACGTGTTGATTTCCTTAATAAGGGTGACAATAATTTTCAACTTGATACGAAAGTAGCAGACACACTGCGAACGAGAAAATGCTCAAAAGGAAAAGCGCGAACGAAAAAAGACGAAGAAGAGAAAAAAACGGAAGCAAAGGAAACATACCAAACTAGGTTCATGGTAGTTGTGGAGGTTGAACTAATTTCTTTTGAACACACAGCTCCGGCTTCTCCATGCATATTGCGAGGGCTTCTGCAGTACAAAGAAGTCGGAAACATACTGCTTTTGATAGGTTTCTGTTGACTTTGTAACTATTTTCTAATCCTATGAAACCATGTCTCTAAACCCCTTGTAATCCAAATTCGTACCTTCAAACTTTCATATCAAGTCGAAGATTTCCTTAATAAACGACCTGTTGCCTGACCCTTGTCTTCTTTTGTTACAGAATCACTTCATACAATTCCCC